TTTAAAATTATCGAGCGATTCATCAATAAGCTTTTTTTGTTTTTCTAGGTTATTATTTTTGATAAATTCTCCAAATACTCTACTCGCACTATGTATTTCTATCATTGTTTCTGATATTTTATTTTCAAAGTTTTGTTCTTTCAAGTTTTTGTTTTCATTAATGATTTGTTGATTATTGAGATTTGTTTTTTCACATTCATCATTTTCTTTTAACAAGAGTTCATTTTCATCTTTTAGTTTATTGATAAGTTCTTGAAGTTCTTTTGTTTTTTTTGATAAGAAATTCATTTATAATTTTCGCTAATTTTTTTAATCAAAGCTAATTTGTTTCGTAAAATAGGAAATTCTATTGTTTTGTTAAAGTTTTTTAGTACAATATCTGCTTTCTGATCTAATATTTCAACTGTTTTTTGTGTTTCGATATTGATTATTTTTTCTTTTTCGAGTTGTTCTTCTTTATTTTTTAAAGTTCTTTGTAAAGAATTATATTCATATTCAAGGTTTTTTAATTCTTGATTGATTTTTTTGTTTTCTTCGTGGTCTTTAATTTTATTTTTACATATAGAGATATTATTTTCTAGAATAGCGTTTTCTTTTTTTAAATTGTTTATAGTTTGTTGAATTCTATTTAGTTCACCTGAACTAAAAGACATTTTTCGAAAAGAATTTTTATTTTTTTATTTATTTATACATTTTAATAAAGAAAAAAACTATTTTAATTGATTTGTGTAATTTTATCGCATAATTCAACAATTTTTTCCATTTTTTCTTCAGTATCATTTAGCGGAAAGACTACTTCGAAACTAAAATTATCCAATATAATATCTATTTTTTCATCCAAGATAGTATATTTTTTTTCTTTTTCTTCATATTCCAATCTTTTTTCACAGATTTTTTTTACAAATTGTTCTTTTTCGTTAGTTAATCTTTCATTTTGATAAGTAGCAATTTCGTTTTCTTTTTGTAGTTCTTGGTTTGTATTTAATAATTTCTCATATCGACTATTATTTAATATTTGAGCATTTTCTTTTTCTAGTTTTTTATTTTCTGTTTTTAATCGGTTTATTTCGTCTTGAATTTGTCGTAATCTAACAGAAATCATTCTTGAATTGTTTTAAGGTTTTTGCTAGCTGAAACAATTTTATCTATTTTATATATATTGGATTCTGAGGAACTGAAATTAATTTTTAATAAAGTTAAACTGTTATCAATTTTTTTATTTAAATTTTCTAGTAATTCAGTTATTTTTTTATTTAATTGTTCATAAAAAAATAAACTATTTCCGTGTACTTCATAAACAAGTTTGTCATTTTTTTCCGTTAGTTCTTTGTTCAATAAAGAAAGTTTTTCATTTTCTTCAACGAGTTTTTTACATTTTTCATCGATATTTTGTAAATTTTTATTTTCGTCATTAAGGGTTTTATTTTTAGTTTTTAGAGCTTCTAATTCGTTTACAATTCGGTTTATTTCAT